CGTTGAGCGTATACCTCGCGGGTGGTTGGAGTGCATGAACAAGTGAATGCGAAACGTTTCTAACTGCTAAAGAATGGACTGGTGCTGCCTTTAAGACTGTATCCTATTTCGTTGGCGTTTTGAAATAGTAATTAAAGCTCTGGTAAAATATATATAGAAGCAGACAGTGGCCTTCAGTTTGGAGTCAGATATACGTATTAGTAATTACATATATGGCAAACGTAGTAAGGTAGAAAAGTGAATGAAAAGGTAAGGGGCGAATTTTTTCTAATTCTAGAGAGCGGCGAAAAGCAAGAAACTTCGTACGAAAGTAACGACGTGTTTGCATCACTCACCGCATAACTTCAATTGACAGACCCCAACGACTCTCGGCACCACACACGTACACGTGACACGTTTCAGCTTGATGCATGAGCTAACGTTGTATAATAGGGTCTTTGTGGCATCAGCTAACAGGGTGTAATTAGTTTCTGTGTTGTATTAGCTAACATGTATTGGTATAGAAATCCATTAGCTAATATTCTGTTATGAAAAAATTATTTGTATGATCTAGCCGTATTCACTGCTTTAAGTTCAGTTACGTTTTTTTTTTGTTCTTCGTTATAGCCCACCCTCTTCTGTAACTCCTTTTGACTCTGAGGGTAAAGTGAACAAATAAAATAAATAAAACTCCCCAAAAAACTCCCGTTAATCGAAACTTTAAAGTAGGGCGAATGCACCATGCAGATGATACTTATGTTTGCGGTTGTCCCAAGAAAAAAAAAATCCGGCAAATCCCACGTACCTGGGAATCGATGTTATGCGAAGCATGCGGAGGGAAGGTGACCGTGTTGCAACTTTTTATTGAGCTACACGTCATGAAATGACGCTAAATATATGTACAAATGTTGCACGCACAGACATCAGTTGAAGAGTTGCTGATGTTTATATCACCAGTTGTTTGCACTTGCGCAACGATGTGGAATGTGCGTATTAGCAGCACCAGAAGCTCATACGAAGCGCTGGTGCTCGCGAAGATGCTGACCCCGGACACTGCTACATAAATCAACTTCAGCGCATGGCAACTGACCACAATTGACGCTAACCCGACGTGACGGCTGTATCAAAGGAGTACATGTGTAATGTTTATAAAATTGGGTATTTAGCACTGCAACCACTATTGACGTTTCACAAAGATTCGCGTCTATTTGAAAACTAGTTTCGAGACCTGGCGTAGCTTTCTGGTAAAATGCTTCATTGCCACGCAGAATGCTTGGGTTCGATTCCAGCTGAGATCCCGACATTTTTTTTTTGTTCAATTGTAGGGTCGACGCTACCGATGTCAGGTATATCTTAACACTCGCACGTTAAAATTGCCCATGTGTGTTCTCGTCGTTCCTGGGTAGATACCGAGTGTCAATCATCTGTGGTACAAACCCGCATACCAGAGGCACATACCCGCCCGTGGGTATGTGCCACTGTCTTGTAGAAATCGTTTGACGACGTACGCAACGGAACTTTGACATTATTCATGTCTTGACTAGCGCGTCATATTCGTCAAACCATTTTACCTTCCCATGCTAATTTTGGTTCACGCCAAGTTAAGGGGGTGACCACGAGAGCACCCAAACGTAAGCGGATAGATAGATAGATAGATAGATAGATAGATAGATAGATAGATAGATAGATAGATAGATAGATAGATAGATAGATAGATAGATAGATAGATAGATAGATAGATAGATAGACAGACAGACAGACAGACAGACAGACAGACAGACAGACAGACAGACAGACAGACAGACAGACAGACAGACAGACAGACAGATAGATAGATAGATAGATAGATAGATAGATAGATAGATAGATAGATAGATAGATAGATAGATAGATAGATAGATAGATAGATAGATAGATAGATAGATAGATAGATAGATAGATAGATAGATAGATAGATAGCTCAAGGTCCCCGAAGTTCGCTAAGAAATGCTTTGCGTTTAAAAACTGGCCAACGTCGCCCAGTGTGGCTAATGCGTTTCCTGGAACACGCCTGAGGTGTGTGCTGACCATCTGAGCTCTAGTATGCACTCACCTTTGCGTCGATGTTGACATCATTGTGACATCTGTTGCGACCAGCCTTTCCAGGCACCGGAGATCCGGGATGAAGATGCCGAGGCAGGAGGAAGGTTAACGTAACAGAGGGTTTATTTACATTCTGTACATGGCGAGCTGCGAATGAGCCCGGTGGCTCTATATAAAGGGTACGTTCGCCTCAGACCCCCGGATCTGGAAATGACTGCACATTGCACTGTCCAATCACATTCACACAACTTGTGAGGGTGACACCCGCCCAGGTGAACGTCGATTATTGAGGCGTGGTCACTGCACTACAACGTGGCACCAACGCGACTCTTCCTTTTCGTGTGATTGCCGCTGCGTGAGGGGTCTCCCGCACAGACGATAGGACGCACCAAAAGGAGCCACCGCAACCAAGTTCAACGGGTCGGGTCCACGGAACTGCTCGCTCAATTAATGGGGCGAGTTGCGGCTGACGCCGCTGTCTCTGTTGAGGAAAATGTTGCGTCTGCGGAAACCATTGTGGTTGTCTCGGGGAACTGTTTACGGCAACTTGCGGCACGGCGCCTCACTTCCTGACTGGGAAGAACAATAGACGGCGGACATATGCCGGCAGCCCTTCGACGACTTGTGTGAGGATCAAAGAACGCCGCTCTCTCAACTCTTCGGGTGCCACTTGTAACACCCCTTAACATGCGGCTCATATCAGTGCGTAATTCTTGAAGGCAACAGGGAGTTTCAGTACTGCGGAATGGTGCTACGTACGCATCACGCAAGCGCCTTGCGTTACGTGGCGTCGTTTGCCACTAATCGGCTTTTAGTACGCCGTAGTACCCGCGTACGTAACAAGCGTGAAGCGTGTTGCGTCACCTGGTAGATCAAAATAGAAGCACGTGTTGTTGACAGCCAATGTGAGCCAATCCAAGTGTTATAGCCAGATTATGGCCATATTTTAAGCCACAGATATGGTGGCTAGAAGGGGAGGTTAGAGTGCCTCGATGCGCGCGCCGCGTGGGCATCAAGGTACCCTAGGGGAGCTGGGAGCATCGCGCGCTGCGGAGGTTGGCGGAGAGGGTGTCAGTTGTTCATGCCGACAAGTGGTGGCGCGCGTGTCGTTTTTTAGATGGGGGAACTGCAGAATGGGTTTCGGAAACACAGGACGTTGGAAGACAATCTGTTCTCACTGACGCAGTGCATCGAAATAGCAGAAAAGGAACACAGGCCCCTGTGGCTAGCATTTTTGGATATCAAGGGAGCGTACGATAGCGTGGTTCAAGAGGAATTGTGGGGAATACTGGGCACACTAGGCGTGGAACATGTAGTCACTAATATTTTAAAGGGTATCTATAAAGGTAACAAGGTAGTTATAAATTGGAAAAACAGGTATCCAAGCCTGCAGAGGTAAAACGGGGGCTTAGGCAGGGGTGCCCCCTGTCACCCTTATTATTCATGATGTACCTACAAGGATTAGAGGCAAAATTAGAGGGAAGTGGACTGGGCTTCAACCTCTCTTTAGGCAAACAAGGAAAACTTATTGACCAGGCACTACCAGCATTAATGTACGCAGATGATATAGTGCTAATGGCCAACAACAGGGAAGATTTGCAGAGATTGATGGACATCTGCGGTAATGAGGGAGATAGGTTAGATTTTAGATTCAGTAAGGATAAATCAGCAGTCATGATTTTCAATGACAACGAATGTAGTGAGCTTAGAATACAGGAGGTCACGCTAGAGATAACAGATAAATACAAATATCTGGGCGTATCGATAAGCAATGGGACCGAGTATCTGAGGGAACACGAAACATACGTGACGACTAAAGGTAACAGGAATGAAGCCGTCATGAAAAATAGGGCACTGTGGAATTACAATAGGTATGATGTTGTGAGAGGAATATGGAAAGGGGTCATGGTTCCTGGGCTGGCGTTCGGCAATGTGGTCTTGTGCATGAGATCAGAAGTTCAAGCAAGGTTAGAAATTAAGCAACGTGGAATAGGTAGGCTTGCTTTAGGAGCTCACGGGAATACACCAAATCAGGGAGTACAAGGTGATATGGGATGGACATCATTTGAGAGCAGGGAAGCTAGCAGCAAGATAAAATTTGAGAAGCGATTGAGAGAAATGGGGGAAGAGCGTTGGGCTAGGAAGGTTTTCAGCTACTTGTACATGAAGAAAGTCGATACAAAATGGAGGAAGCGAACCAGGAAGTTGACTGGTAAATACTTAGAAAACAGCAGGTGGCCAAACCAAAAAGAACTATCGGTTAAGAAGAAAGTGAAGGAAACGGAGACTGACATGTGGAGAATGGGCATGATTAAGAAGTGCGCACTAGAGATCTATCGAACATTTAAGCAGGAAATTGCCAAGGAAAGGATCTATGATAATACTCGGGGTAGTTCTCTACTGTTTGACGCTAGGACGGGAGTACTGCGAACCAAGACATATCGGGCCAAATACGAAGGGGTAGACACAGTATGCAGTGCGTGTGGAGAGGAAGTAGAAACTGCCGAACACTTAATAATATTCTGTAAAGGGCTTCACCCTATAGTTCAGGATGATGGCGCAGAGTTTTTGAAAGCACTGGGGTTTAGGGACCGGGAGGGCAAAATAGACTTTAAGCAAGTAGACTTAACTAGAAGTAGGTTATCTGATTGGTGGCTAAAGTCAAGGCACGAGTGAAAATTAGACTCTTCACTGCAAAGTACGAATTCTCAAACTCACTTTTTAAGGAAAAAATAAATAAATATAGTTTTGAGTTCATTAAGTATTACGGCTTGGTGGCGCTAGTCACCGCCCGATCTAAAGGGTACAGCCATATCCACCCATTCATCCATCCAGATGCCCCTCTGGGCCGAAGCGGAGCACGTGCGTTTCCGCGGCTTCCGTTCGTACTGTTCGCACGATGCTCGAAGTTTTGAAGCCTCTGCACACCACATATCGTGATGGCTAAACCAGTGAAGCGCCAGACTCACTGCTTCGCGCCCGGATGCTCTACCGGGTACGTTTCAGCCCGAAAGGCAGGTGTAAAAAGGTCTGTTTTTACCGTACCGAACGATGAGGACCGGCTGAAAGCATGGCAGCGGTACGTTCCACGTGGTGACAAACTGCTCGACCGAACTGCAGTCCTGTGCGAGTTACACTTCGAGCAACAGTTTATTGTGAGAGATTACACCCACATCGTGAATGGTGAAGTTGTGAAGATTCCTCGCGGCCGCCCATGCCTTACCGACGATGCAATACCGTCGATCTTCCCAAACACGCCGAGTTATCTCTCTAAAAAGCTTCCTCAGAAGCGCAGCTCCCGGACATCGAGAGGAGAAGTGCTCGGCAAAAAAATAAAAGTGAACGATGAAAACGAACTTCCTTCGATGGAGCACGATTCTTCCTTAGATGTGACAACGAACGGTGAACGTGTTCCCGGCGCGTCGTGTACAGTGGAAAAACTGGAGCATATGAAGGGTGAGAAGCTTCCTAGCAAATACTGGTCGATGTGCCTACTTGCGGATGCCCCGAACGCTGTTGCGTTTACTGTTTGTGCTCAAGATGGTGATAGTGTGTGCTTCAAGAAACTGGTGTTGTGCTCTGCTGAGGATACTTGCTATCATCGTGTAGTGTTTGTGCAAGGGAAAGTTGTAAAAAAAAGTGGATGTGTTTGATGTGAATGCTGTGGAAAGTCTCCTCCACTCCATCAACGAGATGGTTGTGTGCTCCGGTTTTGAGCAAGGTGCTATTCCACTGGAGCGGCTTGACAGTTCCAATCAATCAAAATACAGAACGCATGGAAACAAGTTGTACAGCAAAAGTTGCTCGGGCATGTCTCAAGATCAAAGGCCTTGTATACACTGCAGGTATCTAAGAAAACTGCTTTTGAACCAAGCATCCTATAAGAAGAGAAAAGCTAGAGTGGCTACTGGTTACCGTGCTTCGAAGAAACTAATTATGCGGGGAAGACTGTTGAGGCGAGAAAAGGCAAAAGTCAGTCAACTAATGCAAATGCTTGCGAAAATGAAGCAAAGTAATTCTGCCCTCTCTGAATCAAACCTTCAGGAGAGTCTGTCTAAGCTACCTGAGAAACAGCGGCAGCAGGTACAAACATGCTTTGAAGCAGCGAAAAGGAAAGGAACACAGGGGATGAAGTACAGCGATGAATGGCTTCTGGACTGCATTATAATGCGCATGAAAAGCCCAAAGCTGTATGAGCATATTCGAAAGCATAAAATAATGGTCTTGCCCAGTAAGAGTTGTTTGAACAAGTACGTGAGAAATTATAAGAGCAACTTTGGGTTCAATGATAATGTTTTTGCTGCCATTGAAGAAAAAACCAAAAGTATAGATGAGTTTCACAGGCACGGAGGTCTCTTAATTGACGAGCTGAAGCTCTCGGAGAGCCTCAAAGTGACAAGCAGTGGACTCATCGAAGGTTTCGTTGACTTGGGCAAATACACTTCACTAGATCAAAGCACACAAACGTGTGATCACGGTCTAGTAGTATTGTACCAGTCATTTTCAGGCAACTTTCAGCAAATCTTAGGGGTTTTCGGCTCCCGTGGAAATGTGAAGGCAAATGTGCTTGCAAAAATCATTGTCGATGCAACACTAACTGCCGAGAAGTCTGGGCTTTTTGTGGATTTTGTGACCACAGATGGTGCATCCTGGAACAGGAGTATGTGGCGACAATTTGGCATCAAGGGTTCTTCAAAGTCAGTCGTTTGCAAAGTGAAGCACCCTGTAGATCACAGCAGAAGTCTGCACTTCTTATCAGACTTTCCGCATCTTGTGAAGTGCGCCCGCAACAGCATTGTGTCTACGGGTCTCCAGGTGCCCGAAGGAAGGGTCAGGATAGATGTTGTGAAAGAGGCATGGAAGTGTGACAATAGGGACATTGTGCGGCTTAAAGCAATGCCTCGTGTCACAAGAGTCGTCATCGATCGAACAGATTTGAAAAAATGAAAGTGAACTATGCCTTCACTTTTTTCAGTGATGAGATGGTCAGGGGTTTGTATGCATATAAGGAAGAGATCGAGAGAGTATGGGGCGTTGGCTCTAGTGATTCAACAGTGTCATTTATCAGAAGAATGGCTAGGCTGATTGCAGCCATGACTTCCCGCTGCAGCCGTGGTGCCATGCGTCCCAACTCGCCAGTCCTGGCTGAAGTGGAGGAATTTATTGCATATCTAGATGCGTGGGAAGGAAACGTTGGAAAGCTGGGCTTCTTCAGCCAGGGTACTGCAGAAGGGCTTCGCGTTACTCGGAAAAGCACCATGTCGATTTTCGAATATCTCACAAAAGAGCTTGGTTACAAGTACTTGCTGACATCAAGACTAAGCCAGGATCCTCTGGAGAATGTGTTCGGAATCTTGCGGCAAATGTCGGGAAGCAACGACCACCCGACGCCAACCCAGTTTCTGCTTTCGGCAAATTGTCTGTCGTTCTGCAGTTTGGCGAAGGCACCTGCTAACGGAAATGTATCACCGTCAGTGCTGAAGAGCCTCATACATGGAAGCCACAAAGACCGGAGAGAGTTCCAGACGAAGCTTGACGAGCTCATGGACATAGGGTGTCTCAATGAAGTACATGAAATCCTTGAATCGTCTGGCATCCCAACAGATCACTGCGCAATGGTTTCGGCAAAAGCGACTCCCGATTTTTTATGTTTTTTAAGCTGTTCTAAGGGAAATACAGTGTAATAGAGTTCTTTTAATGTTCTAATAAATAAGTCATAGGAGACGGTAGGATCAGTTATCTGCAAGACAGGCTCCCAGCTAGTTCCTTCAACCAAATGTTTGAAATAATTAACCCTTTCTGCAGATATTTTTCTTAAAGAATAGGTGGCTGTTTGCGTTGGTTGTGTTGAGCCATGTGAGGCGTAAAAAAGATGAAGAAGGGCAAATGATCACTTATGTCTGATATTAACACTCCGGCATCAGATTGACCAATTTCATAATTTGTAAAACAAACGTCTAGCAAAGTTTCAGATTTGCTCGCTATTCTTGTAGGTACATCAATGACATTTTGACAGCCAAAACAAAGAAAAACATCAAGTAGCATCTGTGCAGGTGACTCCACAGAGAGAAAGTTTATATTCAGGTCTCCACTAATTATTATAGGTAGACCAACGTATGAACAGTGCTCTAAAACACGCTCTAGAAATTCAATAAATTTTGTTACAGAAACCGTTTGGAGGCCTATATAGAACGGCTAGCATTGTGTTAAAGCACTTCACAAGCAGACATTCATAGTGAACATCAATGATTGAGTATTCTGGAATAACTTCATAATTAAAGTGGTTTTTAATGTACACAGCAACGCCTCCTCCTCTTTTTTTAGGTCGTGATACTGATATGCAGTTGTATCCCGAAAAGTTTACAGCGGGGCAGTCATTGGAAAACCAAGTTTCGGTGAATGCCAATACGTCAAACTCATGATCTAAGTTGTCTAAAAAAAGGTTAACAGAATCATGTTTATTTTTTAAACTTCGTGTGTTAAGGTGAAGCAAAGAGAATCGCTTGGTGCCACGTAAGGCCTTGAGACGCCTAAATGAATCAGCATCATGGTATTTTGTGTTGTCGTGAGCAGCCATATGCTTATATGGCGCACGAAAAAAAAGTGTCATTTTTAGAGTTATCTTATATGGTCGAGGTCACTGGCTGTCTTAATCCGTATTACTCTGTCCCGTTCACTGCGCCGAACGAAGAATTTTCCGTCCTTGACCCAGGCGAATTGATATTTCATTTCTCTTGCCTTTGTTTTCATTTGCCAGAACAACCGCTTATTCTGTGCAGTCAAGTTTTCATTGATGAAAACCTTTGAATTCTTTTTTCGTAGCTCGCCTCTTTTTGCAAGCCAAGCGTCACGAGTACACCGGGCAGAAAAACGCACGATAATAGGCGATGGCTTATCACCCCCGTCTGTGCCTGCTCTAGTGCGCAGTCGGTGGGCGGCTTCAATATCCTTTCCAGATAATTTGGAAGCTCCAGTTCATCAGCCAAAAGATTAAGTTTTTCTATTACTTTTCATTAGTTTGTTCGCCTAGTCCATGGATTTCCAGGTTAAGGCGTCTGCTATATTGATCAAGGTTATTAACTTCTTGCTTAAGCATTTCTACTTCACTATTGTTAGTCTGCGTTTCAAGTTTTTCCACTCGCTTTCTTAAATTGCTCATATCAGTACTCTGTCGCTTCATTTCGGCAAGCACGTCATCATACTTGCTTGACATTTCCTGTAGTGACCTTTCAATACCACATACAGTGTCAGCAACACCTGCCAGAGCATCGACTTGCGATTTCATTGAAAGAAGTAGTGATAATTTCTTCTGAATTTCGCCTATTTCTTTTGCGAGGTTCATTTCCTGCTCCACATTTTCTAGTTCAGCACACTTGCTGCTTCGAGCTTTCGACGTTTTGCAAGTTGCACAGCTCCACGAGTTCTTCGCCGCTGCATATTTCTTTTTATATGCCGATTCTGTTACTCCTACATGCACCTAATGATACGTATATTTACACTCTAAACATGACAGGTATGGTGCGTCCCGCAAAACTTCATGACAAGAAATGCAGGGTGTCGGTCATGGTAGTTACTCAGCAGCAGTGGCAACCGCGTACTCAACCAGGATATGTCAAATGTTAGCTCAGATAGGCCACCACCTGGGAAAAGGAAGACGATTTGCTTTAGTAGCCAGTCGACGAGCCTCACGACGTGCCACCACTGCTGAATGTTGTGGACAGGACACACGATGTTTTCTTCTTTTTATACGTTTCTCGGTGATGACGGCCGGCTTGTTATCCAACGTTGTGCCACTGGACGTCGCACCGATGTGGTAGCACCGAGTGTTCTTGATAGACGTCGATTCCTGGGAAAAGGAAGACGATTTGCTTTAGTAGCCAGTCGACGAGCCCTACACGGTGCCACCACTGCTGAATGTGTGTTGACAGGACACACGATGTTTTCTTCTTTTTATACGTTCTCGGTGATGACGTCAGGCTTGTTATCCAACGTTTGTGCCACTGGACGTCGCACCGAAGGATGCTGAGCCAAACCAAGTGCCCTGAATGTGCAAAAGCCCTTATCCGACCGCGCGATTCTGATATGCCCGCAGATGCCTGCCTAATCAGAGAAGTAGACCGGGGTGGGCTGCTCTACCCATCTGATGAACTGCAGGCTTTTATCGAAAACATGGAAGACTCATTCGCGCGCTGCTTTAGCTTCAGCAAGCTTAAAGCAAATAGCATAATGGACTTCATTTCTGCTTTGACAAGAAACTGGCTAACTCATCTTGGCTGCGAAAAACATTCCAGAGATGTTACTAACAGGCTCGTCAAGTTTTATACAATGAGAAGGCTGCACTTCATTGTAAAAGCGGAAAACAAGGCACGGGAGGACAAGCGACGGCAGCGAATGCACTATTTGAAGCTTCGTCGCGTAACGTGAATATGTGTGAAGTTGCGCTTTCATGTAATTGTAATTTAGAGCTGCTTGCTGTATGAGATTGGTGATGTACAAAAATAAAGATGCAGGCTGTTAATTCCCTGAACGTTGCGCATGTATACAATTTTTATTAAAATCTTCTTGATTGAATATACGTCACTCGGTGTGTAGAAAATTCACCAGACACGAAACTCATCGAAAAAGTGAACAGCTGCGAAAACTACAATATAATAAAATCGTTAAAAGTTACGCATTGAAATGTAAAGGGAGGTACCGAACGTTGCGATTGTGAGCGTATGATCGTTTTACACCGACGTTTCAAATGGTATTCGAACTTATACGCACGGTCTTATCGTGGAGTACGCCGCCTTGCCTTTTGGGTGCTACCGCGTATGTTTGCATGCCATTAGAGGTAGTTCGTTGCCTTAATCTCGGTATACATTCCGTGCTTAAATTTTTGTTTAAAACACCCCATTGCTAGTGCACACAGCTGCATTCCAGTTATTACATGGAGGTCGCAAGCTCTGCAAAGTGCGCATACTTTCTCGTGCAGCGCCTGGCCTGTTTGGCCGTCAAGGACGCTCGCCCCCACCGACCGATCTAAAAAGCTACAGCAGCGCCGCCGCTGCCGCCATGATCTGTTGCTACACTCCGCAGCTGGTGATGCTCCCACCTCCCCCTTCTAGCCACCATACCACAGAGCCGGTCGGTGCTTGCATTCGATGCCGCCATTTTGCAATACGAAGTCTCGCGCTGTCGCGAACTTGTTCGAGAGCGGCGCGATCAGCTCATACGTACGCACACACGCATCTCATGCGTGCGTACGTAGCGGCTGCGTACGTAACGTGATACGTGCGCGTTGTAGTCGGCGCACGCGCACTATGCAGAACGTGGCGTCCTTAAATACGCAACGCCGCCACGTACGCAGCGTACGCAGTACTAAAACTCTCTAATGTCTATACCTTGTCTACTAGCTTCTCTAACGGGGTATATAGGGGGTGTACCGGCTAACTCGGGCCAAGCTGAGCAAAACATAAAAGAAATGTATGATCCTTTTGTCATATGAGTCGGTTTAATATGAAAGTGAAACGCATCCTTACTAAGGTAGTTGAGTAACAGTTGTCACAGTTGTTACTTCTGTGTGTGTGAGCAGCGTGCTCCTTTCGTAAGCGCGGCCACTGCAGCGAGCGAAGTGATCTATATGCACTCTGCAACTTCCACGCGAACTTGCGATCAAAGCACAAGACGTTCACCCCCACCCCCCCTCACGAGATAAGTGCGCGGGCTCAAGTGACGAGACGCTCGGCGTATTTCACGCTTGACAGCTGTCGAATCCGTGACGTCTTCTCTCCGAAGACCACTCGCCGATCGGAGTGCCGTCCACGATCTTCTCTAAACGCCTCCCATCTTTACTTTTCTCTTGTTAATCCCTTTCATCTCGCTTCATCCCTTCCCTTGTGAATCACTGCTGATGTGCCCTACTTTGCTAGAGACTGTTGCGGGGTTCACTTTTCTCTTCATTTCTTCCTTGGATCAACCCGGCCTTGAATATTTCGAGGTGATCCGTAGCACGACCTCTGTACCGCGGTCGTGGCTGCGCTGACTGCATCTCCATCATGGTTTTGTTATCATGACATTTTGCCATGCACTTTCACTGCACATAATTCACGCCACTGTCATGATTTTATTATTTCCATGTTTTTACCCGCGTTAGCGCGAGAAATTTGAAGGCCCCTTTAACGCCAAGCATCATATCATTGTTTATACCTGCAGTCTATTGAAATGGCACTCTTTGGCCATCACTTGGCCCTTGCGCCATTAAAAATCACTCATCACCATCATTCCTTGAACAACCACCTCCTGTAGGGGAACGTGCGCATCCCAGCGCTCGGGCCGACGACATTTGAAGCGGGCCATTCACGCCATTTCACTGGCGATAGCGGAAGAAAGTGCGTCTGAGCTCTGCGTACCGACAGGGTAAGTTATGTATATCAATATATCACCATCAGTGTGCTCTGGAACGCACGCTCTATGGTCGCATCGTTCGCGCTACGCTCAGCGGAGCGAAGGATCAATAGTTCGACTCCTGGTAACGGAACTATTTCTTCCCGTTCTTTTTTCTTTGCCATCTGATATAGTGTATATTTTACAACGTCATAGCCGTGAGGGAAATACGTCAGTGTAGCCTTGATTGAACCTGGCATAAAATACTTCCGTGTTGAAATAACAATGTGCAACAAGAAGTGACAGCAGATTGTTTAAGCCCTAGTTAGCCAGGAGAAGACTTATAAAGAGTTTGAATGCTAAACATTCCTGACCATAATATTTTACCGTAATAACTTTCATACCAACAGCAATGAATAATTTTAGCCAATAAGTTTCACATGAAGCATATCATTGCGACCCCGGACTGTCCGAAGCAGCCGTTGCAGGTAATGAGCGTAACACGCATGTTACGTACGCAGCGCTCATTGCCCAAAACCAGGGTATCGGGTTCTGCTTCGACATCCCCAATACAAAACGTATTCATTAGCCCTTCTGGTGCCTAGAAACTGGTTCCTAAAAGAGCCTAGGTCCGCCGCATGTCCGGCTAACTAGTCCTGGACAACCCGACACCGTTATCAGCCAATAAGGATTACGTACCATTTATTACACGATGACTTCATCTTTTTTCCCAATATGTATTGTCACGCATCGTTCACTGACATAAGGTTGTCATTACTTTTACGTAGGACTTCCATTTTCCATAACTGCTTCTTTTCTCCCTATAGGACTTGTGAGAATTGGAACCGCTTTCTGGCTCTCATTGAAGACATTACCTATAATCAACGTTTTGAGAACGCTTCAACTATCAGTAACTAATTAACTTAGCTTTTTTTCCCTTCTTTTTCTCATGCTTACCTGTATCAGTGTTCAATACAACTCCCCTTGGTGTCTTATTCGACCCACAGTGCATCTTAGTGTACCAAGAATCCGTAGGAAATCTGAGCTTTCATCGCCCGTGCTAAAACGACTGTCTCTTTTTTTGCACGAGAAATATTCACACAGTGTACATATATATACCGATGGTTCCAAGAACCGCCAGTGTTCGTCAGGTGCAGTAGTTGTCCCAGCAAGAGGTGTTACCATCAGCTTTAGGACTGACGACACCATGGCATCTACAGTAGCGGAACTAGCTGCTTTGCGCGCTGCACTTTATGTGGTCAATCAGGAACCACCGCAACAATGGTCGATTTTCAGCGACTCAAGGGCTGCCCTACAATCTGTGCTCTCGGTACTGCATCGTGGGCCGTACGAACAGCATGTTTTCGAAATTCGATGCCTTCTCCGCGCTTCACACGAGAAAAGGCGTCATGTGACGTTTCAGTGGCTGCCAAGTCACTGCGGCGTCGTAGGGAACGAACATGCCGATACTGCCGCGCGGGTAACTCTTGAAAGAACACGAGAAGAAGCCATACCACTTTCGCGGAACGATTCTGCCAGTAATATTTGATGACTTGCGCGTGAAATCACGTTTTCACTATCGTGCCCACCAAGCAACGAGACGAATCGTCCACACCACCTGTCCTCTTTGAAGGCTCTCCGCATGCCCACTGGGCTCGACCGAAGAGAAGCCACCCTTCTTCATCGCTTATGGCTAGGAGTGGCATTTACAAAGTCTTATTCCTTTGTCAAGGGAATGGCCGACAACATTCTGTGCGATGCCTGTGATTGCGAAGAGACGCTACACCACATCCTGTGCGACTGTCCGTTGTATGACATCAGAGTCACTGGCATCCGTTCTTGCGCGCATCGACAACAGCCAAATGTCTGTGGACGCTATTCTGTCAAGTGTCCGAGAAAAGACATTGCAACAGAAGGCGACAAAAGCTCTGTTGAAATTCCTACGCAACACGGACTTGAACAAGCGGCTGTAACAGCAATGTCACACACCGCAAAAGACAAGACTGGACTATGAATGAGTGTGCGCGCGTGTGCTGCCGAATGTGCTGTGTTTATCTATCTTCCCTCTCTGCTCTATCTTTCATCTCCCCCATCCGCCTCCCATACTCAGGGTAGCAAACCGGCTGCCTATAGACTGGTTAACCTCCCTGCCGTTCTTTTCCTCCTATTTTCCTTCCTTCCCCTTCTGTAGAGGTTCGGCCTTGAGGGCAGAATAATTTATACGAAAATAAATATAACGTCCCGAGGGCAGTCATGGGCACACTATCCCCCACGACTGTTTAGGGGTTCTGGTGCTCATATTGTGACGTAATGGTCGCGGAATCGAATCCCGGCCATGGCGGCAGCATTAAATAAAGGAAAAATGCTTGAGGCCAGTGTGCTTAAAGGGACTGTCTACCGCTAGGGAAAAAAAAATGGTGGCGGCGCAATGGGAAGATCGTCCATCAAACCGGCGGCAATGAGCGTGATTTTGTCTCATATAAAAAGGAATTGTAGTTTTGCCTTGATGTTGAGTGTTGACAAAAAAAAAAAAAACCGCTAGTGTCACCCAACAGCGATGTGGTCAATTTACTGGTAGGTCAAAAAATACTCGCAGGCAGACTTATTTTACTTAAAAAACAAACATGTATACCTCGAAATTCTGCTTTACGCACTTTGAGGCACCTTCAGGTTGTGTCAGAGACTTTTTTCTTTTTTTTATCACGCGTTCAGAGAGGAAGAAACCCGGTGGCGCTGCCGGCGGTGTGTTCACTTGCCTGCAAACAATGGAAAAAATGCGAGCACGGCCGCCGTCGCCGCTTATAACAACAACAAAGAAGTGTGTGTCTGTCTTACACGACCAGTAAGGTATTTGTTTTATTAAAAAACCACAGCATATACACGGAGTGAATGATGATGAGTGGGGCAAAGCGTCTGTCCGTCCGTACGTTTATCTATCTGTCTGTCTTAGGATATGCTGTGCTGGCTACGCTGGAGAGACGCGAGACTGCCCTTGACCATAAGGTGCTTCAGCCCTAAATAACAAAATTGGTTACGCCTGCCTAAACCACACGCGGTATGAGTTTTTTTTATTTACTTTGATCGGCAGCACAACGGTCACTGCCTCCACAGACCATGCAGTGCTGTGGACATTCTTCCTACCGATGAAAGGAGATCAAACGCAGATCGCAAAATTCTGTTTTAAAAGCTTCTACACACTTTTCAGAGAAACCGCTGCAAGGTTAGACACTTCAGGTGGTACGCTTTCTATTGCGACACAAAACAGAAAATCAGTGAACGACGCTAGACAATCCCTCTTTGGTGTACGTTAAAGAACACCAGATCGTCTAAATTACCGGAGCCCTCTTAGGACTGCTGTGGTTTTGGGACGTAAAACACCGAGATTCACTACTGTCGTTATTATGACCACCAGGCGAAAACAAACAGAAGAGAATGAATAACAACCCGGCGCGCCGCTCCGCCAGCCGCAGACATGCAACGCCCGCGGGGCGGATAAGCAGCGCGCAATTCACACAGACAAGAGACAAGGTCGTGAAGAACATCTATAAACATCTCCTTTATTCCCTCGAGAGACGAGCAGATCGAGGTGCTTACACGCCTTCTTCGGAGTTTATTGCATCAAATAGCGGCGTTTGTTTGCTCTTTTTATTCGCCTCCATTTTGTTTCCCGATATAAGTATACAATACATCAAATACCATCGCTCGACTTTATACCGCGCATCATCACTATACGAGTTTTCAAATACTGTGTATGTAATGCATGATGCGTCTTTTTTTCTTGCTCTCCTTCTCCGCGTTATACACACAATACGGAGAACAACGAGCAGGCAAAAAAAAAAAAAGTCACAGAGCAACGCAAGACAAAGAGTGGTGCATCAACGGCAGAAACAGTACGACTAGTATGTATACACGATATATTATCTGGTGCAAACGAACGCAGGCGGACGACACCACGCGCACGCAGTCTATGTAAGACTAGTAACGTCTGCTTCCTGAGAATAACGAGAGACAGCTTTTTTTTTTGTCCTATCATGCAGACGAGAGAATAAGAGAAACAAAAACCGCAAATAAATAACAAAGAAAAAACATCCGGCGTGTCACGCGCACACACACACACAGTCACACACATCACTTCTGCTGTACAGTGAGTGAAACACAAAGCTCGACACAAACAAACGAACCCATGTTCTGCTGTATATATATATTTTTTCTCTCGCTACATGTTTCCTCGTCGTCTGCTCCCCGTCTCTATGTGTCGTGGTTTTACACACTACTATTACTTTTTTTTTTCGTTTGCATAAATGAGACCTTGGCATCGACGCGCCCGTTTTGGCGGAGAAAAAAAAAAAAGAGAGAGAGAGAAAACCCCAAGGGCGTCGTCGCTCACCCTATTCTCTCGATTTCCTCGAAAGGAGGCGCTCCGCGTCGTACCAGCGGCCGACCGGGCGACCTTAGACCGGGCGCAATCGCAGCGCCGCGTAGCGACAATAGGCGGGCATTAGCAGGTCGTTAGAGTAAGCGAAAAAGCCTCGACAGAGAAGGCGCGCCGTTTCGAAACTCAGAGAAAATAAAGCTAATATATAAGTGTGAGCAAACTGAAGAGCCAGAGACCACGGCGACCTCCCGGCGAATCATCGCAAATCGTTTGATCTGCACCTTCCAGGCGAAGACCAACAAGTGTGACATAAGACAAGACAAAAAAAAAAAGGTTACCTCTCTTGTAATTCACATCCTTATCCTAAACAACGGCACCGTTTCTGCGCTATCTCCATGACATCGTCACTGACCTCCTCTTCACCGCAGTGATGTAGTTTGGCTCCGCTTAATAGATCGACGCAAGCAGGAGCTATGTATCATGTGAAACGCCAGTAATCGATCCTGCGCGGCTTTGGCGAGTCTCAGAGAAATCTGACAGAAAAGCGCATTTATTGCCGACCATACTGCAACATGCCATAGCGATTAACACGAGGCTTCTATCGCACACCAAGTTGTTTTTCTTGCAACCCTCTGTAAACTATAGAAAATAAAGCGTCTCAATGAAACTGACCAAACGAATGAAACGCAACGCATGTAAGATCCAAGCCGTTAAAGCTGCAGGATGCCTGGTAGCAATTTCGAGAAGTTCACCTGTTGGCTGGTGTATATTAGCGAGCCGAAGGCGACGCCCACATGAACACGTATCAGATTCACCTTCAACAGGCCATCGTCAGTCGCGACGATCGTGTACAGTACCCAAACGATACCATAGTAAGCTCCTTGTGCTGACCAACAAGTGTTCACATTAAAGTTCACGGCGCCCTAACACGTACAATACGTGAGCACCAAAGTTTAGAAAGCACGAGACACACGCGCACACATCAACAGAAGCCGAACATTCCCTCTGCTTCTGCAGACAGCTCTCAATTTACCTATCTGGCCTGTTTTAAGAAGCTCTAGCAACATGTACAGCTCTCCTTGATCGAATACTGTACTGCACTGCTGAAAAAATCGACGTTTCCTCAGACCTCGTGGTACCTATAATTTTAAAGCCGACTGTATGTGCTGTCATGACCAATGTGATCGCGAACGGGCGACTGCCGCTGCGATGCCGAAAGAACGTCTACACGTGGACGAACGCCTTCTTCATTACCGTGACTTCCCATGGTGCATTGCGAACAAAAATAAACTAATAAAAAAAGGCGCCTATCGTGACTGCAAACGACACTGCACTTCCCTCCGATGGCAAATGCCTCGACCTCAACGACCGCTGGAGCACAGGGAGCGGGCCCGCGGCGGCACAGCGCTCTAGCGAGCACATGCATACGTGACAAGATATGTGAGCAAACTGTGAAAAAAGTGCATGATATGTGTTTCTTTAGTGGGTGTAGAGAGTATACATATATAGATACATATCTATATCCTATACACATCGTCGCGTTTTGCTTCGCCACCTTCTTTTGTCAATATATATTTTTTTCTTCCTCACTCCTTCCGTCAGAAGACGAGAAAAAAGAAACAGTAAATGAAACGTTGATACACGACAGTGATTGTATGAACAAACTTTCCGCCTCTTGAGCAGGGTATATTTATGTCTCTTAGACACGCTCTCATCCACCCTTCATTTTTCTTTTTTACAAAAATAAGAACGGAATAACAAAGTACGATCTAATAATATACATATGCAAGCGATACACAGCCAGTCTACAAATAAGACTTTTTTTTTTTCACTTTGCACGCACTGCGCTTAGGCAGGAAAAACAAAGGCTCTTTCTTCATATTGCACTGCGTCTGTTTTTTTTTTTTTCAAATCTCGCTTCCTTAACTTTCTTTGCTGTTTCATTTGCATGACTGGTGCACACAGCAAAAAGGGGCGAGGAAACAACCTGAGATGCGTTGCCCCCCCACCTTCCTTCGAGACCAGTCATCACCATCACACATCGGCAGCGGTTTTCTACAACCACAGGTCAACAAAAATATAAACTCAACCGGCAACATGCGTGCAATATCCGTTGCGCCGCTTCCTCTCACACTGGTACGCAACGCGGGTTAAGGGGGCAACAGCTTTGGCTTGAAACAAGATCTGTACAAGTGTATGTATGTCGACCCTGTAACTCGGACTACCACGCTTCTTGCAGTCTCGGAACAAAAGGACTGCACCGAGCGCGCTTCAGTACAGCGTGCTTTTTTTTTAATTCTATGTGTATGCTCTTTTTTTTTCTCTTCTTTTCTTTCTTTACCGGTTTCCGAAAAAAAATTGCGATCGGGTGAGAGTTGGGGAAGGCGGGAAACAAGAGGCGATGACGAGTGTGCTCACTGTGGGACTAATTAAATGCCACGCAATCGGGGGAACACAGGAAAACGACGTCACAACTGGACAACGCGTCATCACCACGTCACTGCTGCTTCTCCAGCGGTTTCTCGAAAGCCGACTGGGTACACGCGCAGCGTTTTAAAATAAAGTGACTACGACGACACCTGGAGGAAAACCACTGTGCCGCAACGCGACGGCGATCGCAGTTTTTTTGGGGGCGCCAGCGAGCTTCCAAAATCTTGAAAGCGATCCTCCAAGCATCTCAGCACTGAACTGTCATGGGAGGGTAAAGCGTGAGTATGCCACAGCAGCCCCTAGCGAAGAAGTTTGCGTTATAGGGTTGGTGTCGGGTCTATGTGTGACATTTAGTTTACTTGGCGGCTTGGGTTTTTAGAGGGATGGTGGTGAAAATGTCGTGTCGTCATTCATACGAGAGTTGGCGCGTGCGTTCCGACAACCGAGAGCAATGAGGGCTCCGGTATGGTGCATCCAAACTGTACCGTGACTAGCGTTTCATGAAAATATGCTGGCAAGTTGCGCAAAACTAGATCGTTCGTCATTTCTTGTCTGCACCCGCGCTCGTACGGGACACCCTATGCACGCCCAAAGCAAGCTGTGCACGCATGAAAACTCGGTGGGGGAAGGTCCAATGCCGCTGTGCGTAGCAGCGAGAACGTCATTGCTATGAAAACTGGCTATCGAGATAAAAAAAAAAAAACGGAGAAAGTGGCGCATGTGTCCACGACCCGCGTACCTTTCACTAACCGTGGCCGCACAGTGTCAACAGATAAGAGCTTGTACAACACCGCACGAAACAACAGTCACTCATACACGCACACAGGCTACAGGCGCATGCAATGACATCTGTGTGGGCCAACTGACTAGATACTCGGAGGCGCCCATCTCTGTCGCGTGCGGAACGCCCCGCCTGCGCTACAACCTTTTTTTTTTTCTTGCTCGAACGTCGCAGTTCGCGTGCATATATATGTCTACAACATTACAAAGCAAATCGATCTGAGAAAGACATTATTTTTTTTTCTTTTGGCCTTAACCTTGCTTTGACTGCGGCGTTAAATGCGACGTTCTGGAAAAAGTAAAAGAAAACACTGTCATTTGACTTAGAAACGAAACTGACGCGTTTGAGAGACCACAGCCTTCTCATCAATCAGAGAGATTACTGAAAAGACGACAAAGAAAAAAAAAGAAGGCTAATCGTGACAGCTTCACCCAAAGAGAAACAGCTGCCACAATAAACTAAATTGCAGTTTTTAACGTTCATAAAGAAAAAAACAACAAACATTTAATTATTATGCATTCAAAAGAACAATAGAGATATATAACACGAACAGTGTCTCAGTAAACTTGTTATCACAGAACAATTAAATATACTTGCAAAGTTTCACACACATACACACGCTGACAGAAGGAAAAAGAAAAAAAGCGACTCTTGTGCAATGCGACGACGACAAACTTCAATCAACTAGCGAAACACGTGTCCGAAGGAAAACATTCAGAGAACGACGGAGCAATCAATGTTGAGCATTTAACAAAGCCATTGAATACAACCTTTGCACGTTTTATGCATTGCGAAAACATTTTACTAAAGCAAGTAGAGAAGAAAGCAAAAAAGCAGTAGAAACCGTGTGGGTGTTTCGGAAAAGAAATCGTCAATGTTGCCTGCAAAAAGTATGGAATGCTTTCCCGCAAAAACTGCATGTGTGTGGTAAAGAGAGCTTTTAAGGAGGGGTTCATCTGTTTGTCGGGTGTTAGATCGGGAAAGAAAAAAAAAAGTGGGTGCATTCCGTGCTCGCGTAAATGCCCGTGTCAACTTGGCAGCTATGTGTCTGCATAATTAGGTGGCCTCAAAAAACAAGACCACTGTACAAGACCCCAGCGAGCCGTTAGGAGCAGCTCGGACGACATTCCAAAGAATATTCTGCGCGTGGCAAAAAGCCGTCCACGTCTTGCGTGAATAATATACGCCTGAGCAGCATTATCGCCCTGATTGCGACTGTTCCAACCGCGCCCCTACAAGGCTTGCTTTGACAAGATCTGCCTCACTCGTGTTGTTTATCTCCTCGCAGGCGGCGCGAACGTGCGCGTCCATCGAAGTACACAGTGGTGAAAAATTCAACACCATTCAATGGCCTCATCAACGCTACAAGAAAACATTGCTACTATTGCTCTAGTGCTTGGTGCACGGAGGATAAAAGGGAGCAGTGGTCGTTGACTTCAAATAAAGACTTAAACAGCGTGAAGAAAGTGCAAATAGAAAATAACTGAGGTAAAGGCCAATTAAATCTCAAGCAAATGTAATTACCGACATAAGTGTATTGCGAGTCTGTGCTGCATAGTATGTGATATGTTATTGACTGAGTGAGAGAGAAAGTGAAGAAAGAAGAAAAAGCAAGCAAGAATGAAGCATTTGCTTTGCGCACAGAACTATTAGGTAGCTACAAGGGTTCAATGCCTGAGATCAAAAAGTCCGTTAAAAGCTACGAATTAACCTCTTTATCACACGCACAAAAAAAGCAGACAATGCAGGCGAACCTTGAGGGCACGCAGTGCAAGAATGTAAAACAGTGCAGTCAACAATACTCCGAGCATGACTCAAAACATCTCGTTAAACTGACTTATACGTGTTTACAAGAGTTGACGTGGCACAAAATTGAGAGAGAGGAAGAGCAAGCACATGACGAAGGATCAAAGGTCCGGTTACAGTTATAGTGTACTAGAATTACTCTAGCACGCTATAGTTACACTGGGAAAAGAGTACTCGCGGGATATAGTGGAGGAAGGTTTTCGCAACTGCCACAGCACTTTAAGCTAACATTTCGAAAGCATAAAAACTACGAATATACTTTGCCAGCAAACATACTATGAGAAGTACAATTATAATAGCTTTGAGCTCTCTAAAGCACCTCGCATTGAGGGTTTGTTAACGTCATCTGAAGTCCACGCTTTACTGCCGTCACAGTTTTCTCGAAAAATAAAAATTTACGTTATTTAGAGATCATTCAGGTAAAAGAAAAAAAAATGGGGAGGGGGGAGTGAAAATTTATCGAGGCACTAAGCTAAACAATGACTATTAATGGTGAGATCTAGCGCAACAGATGTACGTTTGAGAATAACACCTTGACATTGCATCACATGAGATCCTCTTTTTGTTATCTTTGCTAGTTTGCTAGCTTGCAACGGCACATAACGCAGACAAGTATGCTTTAGGACAACTAAGCCCCAGATTAGCTACTGCATAATGCGGACTCGTCCCACTGGTTCCTTAAAACGGCATCACACATGTGCCGCACACTCGGGAGGTACAAGTAAAATTACTGCGACACATTGCCACTGCAACATGTTATAGACTAGAATAGAAACAGGTTTTTTTTTCTTCTTCCGCAATCAGCATTTGCCTTGGAGGGGGTCAGTATGACGTTGCTCTAGCACCATAAAAAACAAACTACATATGGTCCTCATCCGGAGACTTCTGGTTTGAGTGCACACTACATTGACAAGGCATACACCTGGGCCAAATTCGGGGCTGGCATTATCTGCTGACACAACACACAACACACGGATGTTCAGTAACAGGTATATCAAACGAAACAAATCCAAGAAAACTAGTTCTGAGCAATTCTAGTCATAACACTAACCAGAAGCCTTGATTTGGAAAAGAAGCAGAAAGTATTCTGCTAGGAAATATAACCCAATGAAAGAAACAACAACAATAAGGGTTACTCTTCAAATTGTTAACAAATCCTCTAAAAACAATGATGCAAAAAATGCAAAAGCAAGGTACAAAACTTGGCACACAACATAGCAGTTGGGGTTCTCTGAATTATTTGTCGCTACTTTTGCGTGCTGACGTAATGAGAATCTAGCATTAGCCGACAAATGTTCAGATTTCTCCCCGAGGGTTTCAACCGAAAACTCACACAACAAAACCAGGATTCACAAGTTTAAAGCAGGTCTGAATGCTACAGAATATGCTGCCCTGTCTTGTATCTCTCATTTTGTACATTTATGAAAGTGCATAGTTTGACTGTAGTGACGTTTCCATTGTATACATATACTATGTCATATATATTCACATATATACTCCATGTGTATAGAAAAATTTACAAGATGAAGGTTGTTTCAATGGCCAATGTGGCCACCAAAGACAGGAATCATGCCAGTGTGATACTAATATGGAAAATAAAAAGTCAACGTCATTCTGTACTTGTTCCAAGGATATGCCTTTTGTTCGTTAAACAAGGGATGCTAAACGTCTTTTGGGAAAAGGATTTTCTCCGCACATCTGTGATGATGTATGTCTTTTCACGATTATTACTAAAGCACAAGTCCTTTACGGTTGCTCCCCTTTCTTCTTAAGCTTTGTATCAAAGTACAATCATGCATTGTAGCTTTCTGATATGTGTCCTCGCCATTGCAAATCTTGCGCAGATCATGTTCTCTACGAGATGTCATTACGCTTTAATTTCAAGGTTACTGCTGGTGTATCAGGCCTCCATAACTGATAAATTAACCCCAGCAAGAGTAACCTATAGTGTCAACCAGTGCTGAGCAACAAGAAAGTAATAATAAAACTTACTACGAAGCCCTAAACTAAATGTACATGCCTCTAGTATACTGCCACAGTTCTGCCCTTTGAATGTTGCCGGTGAATCGCACGGTACATCACGGTAGACAGCAAACTTTTGGCATTCCTCGACTTGAACAACATGTACGTCAGTGCATATAATAGAACCGATGCACGCTTCACAGAGGATCAACTAGATCTAGCCAAGTCTTGGTTACCTTGCGCACAGGGGAGACCTCTACACACAACACAACAACAGAGGCACAGTCTTGTCAAATCTCGCATTACACACAATTTGACCTATCTCATATACACTACACATGACACTGTTTATGTTCGAGCTTGGCATTCAGCACTTGATATGTTTGGCTTCTAACGCCCAATTCTTGCTAACATTTGCAAAACAGAACAGATTGCTCACAGATTTCATTGTGGCATCACTTTGACATGAAACTTGCGTGAAATAAGCTTTGCTGAAATGGCTGATACAGCATATGCACTCCTTAAATAATGACATGGCATTGATGTCTGTAGAAGGCAATGCGCAATGCAGAGTACAGTGCATTAGCACACTGATGCACTTTTACAATACAAAATTTATGACTACTAAAAAGAATTTGTAGACAAATTTGCTTACAATAAATTGTGTCCAAACATTTACATGAACAATGCATTTACTGCTTTTGCAATCACTTTTGCCGCATGGTACAGGCAGCAAAATGGCCTCAATGTCCATATACGTATATCCAGATATTCAGAGGGCACTGCCTTCATGGCATGAGTTTGGACACCACCTAAGCTTTGAGTTTTCATGCTAATCTAACTAACAGCTTTGACAAGCTCTAGAGAAAAGATAAATATAAGAGATACTACATAAAACAACAAATAGTAGTTGCATTGTGACACCCACAATTTAACACAGTAAAAGATGCTTTCCAGAATACACGCAACTGTTCTCGGTAAAAGCTTCTACATTGCCGACAACTTTGTTGCTAGCTGTTCTTGTGAGCAGATTTTGAATGTGGCACTTAATTGTAATACAGTACTCTCAAAGATCTGCTGATTCATCATTTAATCTCCCACTCATGTAAAGAGTCTCGTGACCTTGCAATGTTATTATATGGATCAACATAACACATTAGCTTATTGATACCTATCGAATGAATACAGTGTTATTACTAAATCGAAATAAAGATTTACCTTAATAATAACTTTCTCCTGCATAAAAATGACAAGAATCATGCCACAACAATCATTTTTGAGTGAAGTAAATGAAGACTTAGGCTTCAAGGATGTGCCACAGGAAAAAAAAAAAAAAGCTGACTTGGCAAATTTAAACATGAGTATAAAAAAGCCCTGCAGCACTCCTAGGTGCTTTATTGCCATTAGAAAGTCTTCCTTTTTTTATTTTAGGAGGTTCTGTTTTATGCCTGGTTAAAACAAACATGCAGCATTAACAGCAAGGCTCGCATAATCCATGTACCTTTCTTTTTTTTGTAATCGAAGATGCCAAAGGCACCACGAATGACTGCAGAATGTTGGCCCCGCCCACACAGTCTATTAGAATTCACCAAGAGGTTTTGAAGGTGCACTGTAGTGTAACTGTTGCTAAGATTAGCTATTGCAGTTGAAAACCCAAGCTATCGTAACCTTGTCTGTAAAATGTAGGTATGAGGGCCACAACCGTAACAAATAGATAAAAACAGCATTGTATAAAAATGAATGAGAAAAAAAAAAGAAAACAAAACAAGCCTAAATGTCTAAGCATTATTCCAGTCTATGAGTATAGTGCAGTACATGATGGAAAGTTTGGCACCAAATCATGAACTACAGTCAGTTTGTGCGCCCATACAGCTGACGTTCTTCTCAATGGCAGCAGAAACATAGCAAAAATATCCGATATAAGCAGTCCACTACATATTCACTCAACTTTCCTCAGATTGACACACAAACAATTCTTTGAAGAGGTAAATAGGAACAGCACACACAATATGCTGCACTCTGGCTACTTGCCCACAATAATCCCATGGTAACAGTCAGAAAAACTTCTCGACTGTAATTTTCGCCATTCATTAAGAGTTCTTGGCATGGTCATGTCTAAACCTACCAACATGATTCACCATGTCACACAAAACCCGTATTGCACGCACACATATGGAAAAAAGAGCTTCCATTACTAAGTTTCAGAGTAAAGACCAGGTATAAGCGAGAAATCTGCAGTTGCCTGCACAATCTAAAATAAAGAAATAACGAGATCAGTATGCTGTGTTGCAGCTACGGTGCAGTGCTGGTTTGTGAGAGACGAGCGCACAAGGAACAAACGGTGCGATGCACCCACTACGTGCAGTTTTCCTAGGCTCAGTGCAGTGAGTAACAAAAAAAAAAAAGGTGTACATGCTTGACGAGAAGAGGTTCCAAGCCATCGCGACACGCCAAACGAGTGCGTTCTCTCGCGTCCGAGAAAGTGGGGAACAAGGGTGTTTTCTGTTGGTGTGTCTGTTTTTACAAGTCTGGTCACCATGAGATAAAAATCTGCATGGCATTCCTGCTTGCTTCAGGAGAAATACTGGGGCCCTGCTCTCTTCCGTTAAGTAGCAGAAAAAGTGGTGGTAACCTCTGGAGCTCCTCCAATGAGAGGCACAGAGAGAGATCAGCTGTCAAGGTAAAAGAAAGAGAGAAAAGGAACACTTGTAAATCTACTGTTTTTGTCAAGTGGTCCTCTTTAGCATCCATCGGAAAATAAGCATTGGGACTACCAGACTGCAGTTGAAAATTGCTGAGGCAATGCGGCATCCGATACAATGTAACCATCATTACGTCTATTGCTCATTATAAGCAGAAACAAATATTGTGCCAAAGGGTAGCAAGTTTAATATTTGTAATATGCATCATTGTTTCTGTTAACATGGCTTATCAAGGTTAGAGTACTGAATAGGGTTCCAGATTACCGCCAATCACCCAGGGTTCTTTGTATTGCATTTAAATATAAGTAGGCATTGAACCACACAACCAAATGACTTAGCACCTGCACAGCCACAGTGAGTAAGAACAATCACTGCACTCCTGTTAATTATCACTGCTTGCAGCACCCTTAACCCAATCCCGTTTATGTGTCCAACCAAATGCCAAAGACTGCATATCCAACTTTAAGGAAAGAATTTTTAATTGCGTGATAGAGCACACAGCAAATAAACGAGACTCACTTCAGTGGAGCGACGGCCATGTTCTTCCAGAGCAAAGGTAGCTGAGCATTCTGAATGCTACAGAAGAGGAAAAGAATGGAGATAACAATCTATTATTGTCTTGCACTTGAGCACATCCAGAAAGTCTGGTGTTGGCACAATAGCAAAGAAAATTCATTTGCAAGTCCCTAGAGCAGCAGCAGTGAGAAAAAACAACAACACCACATTCTCATTTAGGTATGTCATGTCTCGATGCTTGCCATGCTTTCAATGACACCGGCTCTGCTACGATGCTAAGGCAGCTAAGAACAGGCCATGTGCAACTATTTTCTGACCCACTTTTCGTGAAGCATTATGCAGCATCTAAGTAGTATTATAGTTATAAATCTGTTATAGTGTTACAGTTAAAACACAACACTGAACTTACTTACCAACTAAAGGAAAGGAATTTAGAAAGTACAAATTGCACATTATGCGGAAATCGGCACTGCCAATCCTGTCTCGGATAAATTTTCCTAGTCTTAACTCTGTTAGGCCTGGACAGGCATTTCACCTCTACTGAGGTGTCAGCCTAAATACATTGCCACGCCCTAGTGGCTGTCAAGACTGTGAAGGAAGAAACTGTTGGCAGCTGAGAGAAAAAGTAAACAACCGTTCGCTACGTCTCGACCCCTTTTGTCGTTTCTTCTTGCGACAAACTGGTGGAGGTGCTGGGTACTCCGACGTCTTATGCCTGCTGGTCCTGAACAGGAAACAACCGACGCTACTACACCAGGTTCTGCTGAAGTCCATTGAAGCAGCCGTTGCCTCCAAGGTCTACCACCCCAATACAGTACCCTGGCAAGTTCCGGGGGGAAAGTGTGTTCCACGACCACAACCCAGACTGAACATGTCGATGGCCCATCCGCTGTTGTACCGTGCGTCGTCAACGCGCCTCTCACGCCCAACCCTTTCCACAGCGATCCCAGTGACGATGTAGAAGAATGGTTGAACTGCTTCGAATGGGTGGCTGCTATGAGTGACTGGGACAATCGCCGTAAGTTGAAAAACGTCTACATCTCCCTTCTTCATGAGGCAAGAGTGTGGTATGAGAACCACGAGGCTTCGTTCACAAGTTGGCCTAGAGTTTCATCGGCTACTACGTGAGGCCATCAGCAACCCCAAGCGGAAAGAAAGAGATGAGCAGGCATGGTCTACATGATTTCAAACGCCGAACGAGAGTGTCACCATATTTGTTGAAGAACTGTCACGACTGTTCTGGCGAGCCGACCCGCAAATGCCAGAGGCCAAGAACGTATGACTGTTAATGTGAGGTGTAAAGGAACAGCTTCTTGTGCGCCTCATGCGTAACCCGCCAACAACGATGTCTGAATTCGTCCGTAAGGCGTCAATTATGGAGCGCATGCTTCGGCAGCGGCTTTCCCAGTAAGGGCGACAGAGCACCCTCTCCACTGCGTGCTTGCATGTGCCTCAGCGTTATGACTAGGGAGGCGCTTACAGAGCTTATACAGCAGGTTGTCCAAGAGGAACTTCAGAAGTGTCATACAGCGGCACCTCCGAGCGTCACAGCTGTCACCGACCTCATTCAAGATGAAATCAGGCAAACCATTCTTTTGTCACCACAATCCGGAGCCGAACCTCCCACGCTATCGTACACAGATGTCCTGCAAGCCTCCACACTGTTGATGGCACGTTTCTTGCATCCACTTGCTGAGACTTCTCAACGCTCGCCGAGCCCAATCCATCGCCCAGCTTTGCAGACCGGATATCGCCTTAACCCGCGGAAGTCCACCGTATAACGTGCACTTGACAATCGACTTTTGTGCTATCACTGTGGTGAAGCCGGACACATGTACCGGGACTGCTACGAAAGAATAGGCCTGCACGAATTCCACCCCCGTTATCCACGCTATCGTGAGCGCCCATACGAAAAGGAACAGTACTTAGGAAGCAGTCATCTTCCTCCTGGCCTTCAGCGACGACAGTCACAGTCCCCATCACCCCATCGGCCCACATCACCAAACTACGTTCGAGCAGCCTTTGAGTGCATTGGTGTCAGAGGCTCAAGTCCACGCCGGGGAAACAGATAACGGCGACCTCCGGGGGTGAGGCCCCTGTCACGGGAACTGACAAATATCCTTCGATGCCAGCCCCCAATGACGTACCGCTGACGCCTTCTTCCGTAACCGCTAAAACAACATCTGCTGCTATAACCGTTTCCATTGGCTGTCATCCAGTAACCGCACTCGTCGATACAGAAGCTGAATACTTGGTAATGAGTGCTGCATCAGTCACCAAGCTACGCAAGGTGCTGACAACGTGGGACGGCCCACAACTGATTATCGCTGGAGCACATCTCATGTCATTAATCAGCCGGTGCACTGCGAGACTTGAAATCTGTGCGTCGGCTTTTGTAGCATCTTTCCTTGTGCTGCCCAATCGTTGCCAACCAGTTATATTGGGTGTGGATTTTCTTCAGGAGTATGGGGCAGTCATTTATCTGCGAGATTTGTTTGTAACCTTCGCTACCTGTGTTCATACCGATTGAGATGACGGAGACGAGCATCGTCGTGTGGCGTTACGCATTGTCGATGACTGTGTAACGTTGCTGCCTTGTAGCAGCGTCCTTGTTGAGTGCCCACAGGAACAAGCAGGCACAGACATCTCCAAAGGTAACATCTTACTACTGGGTAGTAAGGCCAAAGGTAAGGCCTTACTACTGGGCAGAGAGGTCGCTATAGTTTGTGGTATCGTAGAGCTCTGAATTGGACAGACTGCCATCTTAGTGACCAACTTCAGTGGTGAATACAAGCATTTGGCAAGGCACACTACCATAGCCCACTGGGACACCCTCGAGGACTTGAGCATCTGCACTTCGATTACGAGAAACTCTACAGATCAAAGCTGTAATGTAGCCTTTACGAACCACATCAGTATTAGTCAACAGTTGGAGCAACACAAGCAGCAAAGACTACTCAACTTGCTGTCCTCTTTTAGCGACTGTTTCCCCACTACATCGAAGGTCCAGCAGACTCCACTAACCAAACACAGAATCATCACCGAGCCAACCGTCCAACCTGTGCGTCAACATGCTTACCGCATATAACAGAAAGAACAGGATGCGATTCATCATCAAGTCAAAGAAATGCTCGATGACGATGTCATTCAACCTTCAACGAGTCCGTTGGTGTCGCCTAATGTACTAGTTAAGAAGAAAGATGGCTTACTTCGATTCTGTGTGGATTACCACAAGTTGAACTCCATTACTAAGAAAGACATTTATCCCCTTCACTGTATCGACGACTCTTTAGATTGCCTGCAACATGCCCGCTACTTTTCAATGATGGATCTTCGTAGCGGGTACTGCCAGATTGAAGTTGACGAACGAGACCAGGAAAAAATGGCATTTATAATCCCTGACGGCCTTTACAAATTTAAGGTCCTTCCTCTTCGGTTATGTTTCGCTCCAGCTACGTTCTAACGAATAATGGACACAGTGTTAGCTGATCTGAAGTAGTATTCATGTTTAGTGTACTTAGACAACGTAGTTGTTTTATACAAGACATTTGAAGAGCACGTCAAGCTGCTTCAGGATGTACTTTAGGCCATTCATACAGTCGGTCTATCCCTGAAGCCGGAAAAGTGTCACTTTGGATACGAGGAGCTGAAATTCTTGGGCCATATTGTGAGCAGTAGAGATGTGTGTCCTGACTTCCAAGCCACGGCAGTTGCTCTGTTGCGATGCCAAAGACAAAGCAAGATGTGCGCTGATTCTTAGGCCTTTGTGCGTATTACCACTGTTTTGTGCCAGATTTTAGCCAAAATCGCAGAACCTTTGCAAAAACTGATAAAGGATGATGTTGCCTTTACCTGGGGCTCGGCACATTCCGACACTTTCCTGTGAGCTTCAGCAACATCTTCAAAACCCAGCGATCCTTGGTCACTTTGACATAGAAGCAGATACGGAAGAGCACACTCATGCTAGCGACCTTGGTCTCAGAGCCAATCTCATACAGTTTCAAAATGGCGTCGAACGCGCTATCGCCTATGCTTGCCAAGACCAACATGCTCGTCAATACAACAGCCATCACACAACGATGGCCTATAAAACGGGTGACCTAGTCTGGATTTGGATGCCCATATGATGACGTGGTCGGTCAAAAAAATTGTTGTGCCGGTATTTCGGACCCTACTGCGTTCTGCATCGCATTGGCGAAGTCAATTACGAAGTTGTGCAAACAGAATCATCGCGCCATTCCCGTCCACCACGTTCTTCTGATGGGGTTCAGGTCACCAGAATACAACCGTACTATTCGCGCTGACTGAAAGCTACAAACTTTGCTGTACCGCGCCTGCAGTCAAGCCCATTGTGTCTCTTTTTGCTTTTATTTTAATTTTGTCCTTTACTATTGAAGTCGTCACTAACTTTCTTGGCTCAGCTTTTATTTTTGTTTCAAACTATGGGATCGAAACAAAGCACCTTTTTTTTTTTCTTGGAGAGAGGGTAATGCCACGCGCTAGTGGCTGTCGCAGCTGAGAAGGAAGAAGTTGTTGGCAGCCGAGAGAAAAAATAAACAACCGTTCGCTACGTCTCTTTTGTTGTTTTTTCTAGCGACAATATGATCACTACAGGGCTTTGGAAATAAAAAAAAGTCAGGGCAGCCATGAAAAAATTAGGGTAAATTGCCTCTGCAAGAATAAAAGTATGGATTTTTAGGCAGCTGGTTCTTTTTACATCTAAAAGAACAGGAACATAATGGTACACTTCATTTATTGTGTCTCCCGAGTCTTACAGCAACGCTGCTACAAAATGTCGTAGTCTCAAAGACCCTTCAATAACATGGCTGCCATGTTGCAGTGTACATTGAGCGAAACAGTATTTCCTTAAAATAAAAATGTGTGATACCAAGTCAGGTTGTTGTCCATTTACACACGACAGCACGTGGATTTTAAAGTTTTTTGGCTGTAACACTTCTCTTCGGCAAACACGTCATTTCCACTTATTATGGTGAAAACTGGATGATGCATGCTTAAGTGTGGGACACACCCGAAGAGCTGCAACTGTCCGATCTCTCTTG